CAAATGAAATAAAGTATTTACATTAATCCGTACAAAACATAATATTGAATGACAATTTAGCACAACCAAAGAGGCAACGAGGGAACAATTAAAAATAAACTGAATAAGAACGATTTATTTATAAAGACCTCTCAGGCGATTTGAAAGGATTGTGTAAGCCATGCTTTGGGCATTTGGACAGGCTGTCCACAAATGGCTGCAAAAGCAATAGACAAAGTTAAAGCAAGCAGATTTTTAAGGAAAGAAGCAGGGGTAGTACACCAAGAATAAGTTGTTTTAAGAAAAAAAATAAATAAATGGTTGGTAGACTGAAACACAGGACATAAATGTCGTACATCAATTTCTGTTTCATTCACGTCGGCAACTTTGATGAATGGTTCTCCATTTAAAGGATCCAGAATAGTATTCCAACTTGAAGATCCAATCCATCTACCCTGCACTAAAATTAACATATATTGTATCAACATTCCTGTTATTGTGCTTGAAATTCATGATACATTGTGAGTTAACATGAACTGAGTATTTAAAAATTAAAAAACGGGTCAACGAAAACAAAGAAAACGGCTAAAAAATAACTCTTGAGCATTACAATCTTATCATATCAAATCCATATACTAATGGGAGAAATGATAACAGTAACATTACCCACCCAAGTTGGACACTTCTGCTGGCTTAGAGCCTGAAATTTTATCTACTGCTTCTACCGTTGAAAAATCAAAAGGACGTTCCCAAGGAAATTCACAGCTTCAAGAATAAAAATGGAGTTAAAAAAAAAAAAAACAATCTGATGCCATAAACAAAAAAAGCAGCAAATGAACTCTACACAAAAAAAAATAATAAAATAAGAGTACCAATTCTGCTTCATGCATGCTTGGATCTCTTGCTTTTTCAAAAACTGAATATTTATTCTAAACCCATCCCACTTATAAATGGATAGATGTTTTGGGAACTGTTTTGAAATTGGATTACAAAAATTGATTGAATTTATACAGACAGTACTTTGCATGTGGCTATCAACAGAAAAATCACCAGAAAATGGGAGCGATTCGATTCGATTAGATTCAATCAGTTCTTAATAAAAGGCACAATGAAATCCCCACCATTTTGGGCAAAAACAATTGGAGATTGGATGGGTGAATCATGATAGATCTTTACCGGAGGCTGGCGGATGTGCGGAAAAATCGTGTCTGTCGATACAAAAACTGAGATAAACCTGGCGAAGTTATCCGCATCCTGAGAGATTGAGATTGAGAGATCGCAGCAAAATGGAGAGTTTTGTTCGATGGAAAAAAGAGAAATAGGGATTCTGACTTCCAACTTGACAGAAATGGAGGCCACTCCCACTACTACTCCCAATTTTGTTTAGGTATATTTTTTTTTTCACTTTCCAAATTTGAATTAAAATATTAAATAAATAAATAAAATTCTTGAAACTATTATAATTGGGATTCAATCACGGGTTGCAATTTCCATTAATCTGTGAATTATTATTTGATTTAAAATCACCTAATAGAAGGTTGTGTCAGATCATATTTAAATTTAAAGAAAAAATGTAACATGTGTTGATTTTTATATAATCTGGATTATATAACTTAAATAAATTACTATTTAATTATTTGTAATAGTTGATAGTTTTGAATTTTAAGTGTGAAACCCTAGATTTATATTTTAATGAACTAAATTTTGCAATTCATTCCATAGATTTTACAACCTAAGCCTAGTCCGGACCTTATTCATGCACATCTGATTAAGGTTTGATTTTAATCAAGTTTAAAATGGGTAGAAAATTAAGCATTTTGAATTCATAAGATTAGTGGTGATTAGAAACAAGGTTTAAAAAACTTACTACAAAAATGATATTGGGTGTAGGTGGAAAATTTTCATTTATTTTATTGGTTTTTTTAGTAAACATTCCAGACTTACCGCTCGAAAATAATTGTTGCCCAGTTTTGAGTTTTAACCTAAATATTTTATTGGTATCAGAACAGYCTTTGTAGTCCAATGATGTATATCGAAGAATTCCTCATGTCCACATCTACATCCACTCCAACAATACCACATCAACGCTCCAATCAATTAACCTCATCTCTATCCCTTATCGAGGAAAAAAGAACATGTCAATTACCAAGACTTGTGTGGCATATGTTGATTGATTTTTGTATTGCCACAGAGAAAACTGCCTCCATTTCCATACGGACAATAGAAGCATTAAAAAATGTTAAATTGGTTGATGACCCTTCTATGTTGGACTTCCTCAAGTTTGGGTGGGCTGGAGTAAGGATGGCATTATAATGGACTGGACCACTATTTCTTTTTATTTTTTTTATTTGATAATAAATTAATTAAAAATATTAAATTTATATATCTACATGCAAAATAAATATATAAAATACAAAGAACGTGGCTGCTATTTATTTGTTAGTATTCATGGTCAATCTTATATTTATTGACAAAAACATAACATAAATTATAGTAATTAAATAAATGTTATGTCATATTAGAGAACAAGATCGCATCAAGACAACAAATTTGTTTAAATTTTTTAATTTCAAAAGGAAAAAAAGAAAAAATGGACTTTAGTTGCTATTTATTTGTTCAAAATATCGATAATAAAAGTATTAGAATGTTAAATTGGTTTATGGGCCTCTAAAGTTGGACTTCCTCAAACTTGGGCCAGTAGTGAATGGGCTGGGGGAATGATGGCGTTATGCAGTGGTTCCATATGAAACAACACTATTTGTTTTTATTTATTTTATTTGATAATAAATTAATTAAAATTTTAATAAAAATATTAAATTTATATATGTACATGTCAAAATAGATAAAATACAAATAACATAGCTGCTATTTATTTGTTAGCATTAATAGTCAATCTTATATTTAACTTTTTATTGATAAGCTAACCACAAAAGCGTAACATAAATTATAGTAATGAAATAAATGTCATATTAGAGAACAATGTTGTCTAAATCAAGAAAAAAGAAAAAATGGAAACAAAAATAAGGAAAATGAAAAAAGAATGTTTGTGATTCTAATTTTGTTTCAATTTACAATTAAGTATTAAATATCCATTATTTTAACGATTTATTTTAGAAAATAGCATTAATTTTTTTTATGTAGAATTGTGTAATGCCCCTAGGCATTCTAAATTTAGCACTGTTCCCAAAAACATAAATAACACAAATAATTCAACAATTTTTTTAATTGACAGTTAATATTAATTAAAAACAAATCCAGTTTCTTCACTGTACCAAAATCTAAACCAGGTCTATAATTATATTTATATTTTTCCAATTTTCTATCGAGTATTAAATTATTCTAAAAAGAAAACAATTTTGACTGATATTTTTCATCATTCCAGAAATAAAATAATATATCAATTCACCTTTTCAACGACAACCTTCCCCCATTTCCCTTCCCATTCCCTTTTTCCAATAATCTCATATAATTAATTGTTTCTGTTTTTATTCCACTTGAAACCAACCCAAATATATATTCTGAAGAAAACAAGAGTTAAAAAATTTATTTTATTTCCAAACTGTCTAAAAATTAAAATTATAAAATTAAGCAAATTGGCTATCTCTGACTTTTTATTTTTCTTTATTTTAAAATGCCCATCATCTCTATAAAGCTAATTATTAACCCTATCTCATCGACTTGTCCACTCCATACATTAGTTTTACTTGGTGAATTTATTCTTAACATTTATTTTCACATTAAAACTCAAAATTTTATACTTTAGTATCAATTTATACCCCCTCGATCATACTAATTTTGACATATTTAAATTATTCGTCAAATTTATTGAAACAAGCTCAAACTAATTATCTATAATTTATTTCACGCGTAAAGAATATACGTAATCAACAACCATCCGTTTATTATTTTCATACAATAAAAATATCAAGTTGTTAATTGTCTCAGAATATTCCGAGACCAATTCTCAAGGGGTCGAGGTTCCAGCCGTACTTATAAGAAAATTATTCTTTTTTTGTTATGAGCAATATTTTTTCCACTACGTTAATGTTAATAAAATACAACTATTTATTTTTGTCAATAATTTGAGTGGCTTAAAACCCCCTCCAAGGGGTCAGGTCAGTCTTGAGACAAACGAGTCTAATAAATACCAAGTTGATGAAGGAAGTTTGAATTTTTTTTCTGTAGTAATTATTTTATTTGCATTGGCTTACCAGTCTGATTTGTCATTAATTTTTTTAATCGAATTTATGACGTGGGAATGTGATGGCTACTAATCTAAAAAAAGTCATAACATAGAATCTGTCTCCTTTGAAAATTATCCATTCTGGTTCTTTAAACGACAATTAAGTAAAACTTTTGTTAGATATATTTAAGGTTTATAGTTAAATAATTACTTAATCAAAGTCAAAAATGATGAAATTGTTAGTGTGATCAACCTTAATTAAGATGGAGTAAATTAATCCAAAGTCCAAAGGATGATTATTACCAATTTAATTATCACTCCCATATGTTATACAAATGTCCTCGGTAATAAATTTAAATCAACTCAAACAAATTACCGATTAAATGAAATCGTCCATTTTCGTTATTTTAACAAACGAAAGAAAATGTAATGTTAATGACAACTAGCGATCAATTAATTATTTAATTAAACAACAATTAATAAAATAAAATCCTAAAAGGAGAAACAGTATTTAATATTAAAGGTATTTAGGTGTACGATTTCAACTTTAATATTTTGTTGTGAATATTTAATGCAGTGACTTTGAAATACAGTTGATTGATTCATTAGTATTAAAGTAATTTATATATATAATATAAAGTTTGTAGTTTGCATGACTGATTGGTAATGAAATTGAAGGCTATTGACCACTTATTATTTTAATTAATTTGTATAGATCATGTTCTTATTAAACTAAACAATTTGCTAAAGTAAGACAATCTAAGAGATCAAAGATGATGGTAGCAATAACATCATTGACATTAAATTATTTATTATATTACATTGACCTAAGTAGGGTGCCTTGTGAAAACCTTCAACTCTCTCCCTCCCTCTAAATTAAAAACTTTGTGATAAAACAATTAATTTATACTAATATTGGGAGCTCCATAAATTTTGGCTAGATCAAAAAGTTCTTGACACTTTTTTTCTCTGTTTGGCAAGATCTACTTTCGTTTTATCAAAGTAGTATAATCTAAATAAAACTCAAAACTAAAATTCACTAACTCATTAATAAAAGTCACATTTATGCTCTTTAAAAATGAATATTTTTTAAAATTTTAAAATACGTATTAATTTTATGTCAAATAAATAAAGTATATTTTGATGTTTAATTGATTTGAAGTAAAATTAAAGAATTTGAATAGTTCAAGCAAAAAATTACTTCATCATCACTTTTACCCATTTTTTAGGATGATTTACCACACGATTTATTTTTCATATTACCATGTCAACCTAATGAGTATTATATTAATCAATAATTGAAAGCAAGCCGATCTATAATACGTATTAAATTGACCTAATCAAAATATTTAGAACCAACGAACATGCATGTTACATCCAAATAATTTAAATTTGATTAATTTTAACCTTAGTTTAATGGGACCGAGCCGTTGATTTTTATTTTCCCTACATTATGAAAAATTGGGGCATGTCGTTTCATTTTAAAATTTAAAATTTATTTGAAATTGGGCCATATGGTTTCATAAAAACTATACCATAAGTTCTCCCAAAAGTCTCTCTCAGTGTATGAATTTGACCTAAATCATTGAACTTTGACAGCCGACTTCAATTTTCTATATTATTTTGTTTTCCATGTGTTTTGGTAATTTGAACACACGAAAATCAAGATCATCTGCATTTTGTTCAACAAATTTCTTATTATTTTCCAACCTTTGAAAAATATAATCGAATTTATTGATAAAATTTTCCTTTACTTTTAGTATGGATTTGAATTCCCACCCAAAAAAGCTCGCAAATTTATTGATAAAAATTTGAAATATATGAAAATATAGAGACAAAAGGGTATGATTTAACATTAGTTTAATTGACACGCGAGCATATAAATTGTTTTCAACTATAATCCTATAATGGAAAGAAATTTACTACTAAATAATACAATTCACAACTTAATTAAAAATTGAAAGTGGGAGGGATTTGAATGAATCCTAATTAACAGTGTTAAATAAATTCAACTTTATGGGGATGGAATAACTATATGATTAATATATACAACTCATACATATATGTACGTTGATTAATTAAAAGTCTTCTCAATTCACTTGCTACTTTGCTATTAAAAGAAAAAAAAAAGGTAAATGTTGGGCAAGTTGGCTTTAAAGTCAAAATCCCAAACTTTAAGCTAAAATAAAATAATGTTATAATGATATATATTGACTTTATTTTAAATATACATATATACAGTGGCTTTAAGTTGAATAACACTTTAATTCTCATAATAAAATTATTTTTATTTATTTTCATATTTTGCATGGATATATACTCTCTCTTGTATAACTCGTGTGTACGCATATACGATTCTACGTTGAAATTTGAAATTTGAAGTATACACACGAGGAAAAATATTTCCTGAAAATAGCTACCGAAATTAATTATAAATCGTACCTAAAAAAGAAAAAAAAGTACTTAAAAATCGGAACTGATTAATGATTTCCACTCTAACGATTAAATAAAATTAATTAGTTGGGCTTTAAAATAAGAATAGTTGTTTTTGGAAAATAAAAGGATTAAAGATAGAATTTAAAGGCATTATATTATTTTAAGTTTGATGTGTTGTTTATTATTATTGTTTTAGAAATAAATAAAAGTCAAATGCATGGACCAATCAGTAGGGTTCCCAATACTGAAAATTTGACCTCACCGTTATTAAAATTGGTAGAGAGAGAGGGAGAGAGACGGGGAGGAGAAAAATAGGTCGACGGCGGTGGCACGCCGGTGGCTTAATCTGAGAATTTTGACCCTTCAAATTTAAAATAATCCACTTCTAATTTAATTTATTGCATTTTTTCACATATGAAACTTCCACCCTCCCTCTGTTCCCTAATCTTGCGGCTTATTAAACCTAACTCTCTCTCTCTCTTCAACTTTCATTTTCTAATATATTATATGGTTACATTTTGTTATGGTTATTTTGTTCCGTACTTTTGTTGAAATAACGATTTAGTTTTTGAATTTAGTCCGTAATGAGTTGTTCATAGTGATTTTTGACTTAGCTTGAGAAGTGAGAGAAGATTTAGTTAGGACTAAACTGGGTGACATAAAGAAAGATACCCGGACATTCAAGTTAGTAAGATGGTCAATCTAATGTTACAAATCGAGGTTGGATTGCCTTACATGAAGTAAGGATAATGATACTTCTATTTATAGGGAGTTAGGTGATAATGACGTCTGAACTGTTCAGTTGCGTGCTGTCGGAAAATTAGTTGCACAGGTCTCTAAAGTCGGAACATGATGTTGCCTTCAACAAAGTATAGAGTTTTACCGAGAGCTTATCGATCATCTTATGGTTGAGCTTCAAGGTTGGCCATTGTGCCTTAGAGGTTTCGAGGAAGAAGGGTATCTTAATATACTGATATTTTCTAGCTCTTCACGTGGCAAATTCATTTCTCCTCCCCAATAGAGAGTTAGTCATGTTGTTTTAAATTGTTAACAAGGAACATTCAATTTAGTTCAAGTAGTTTTAAAAATTGTAACAATTTAATCCCTACTGCATCAAAACTAAGTATTGCTTATTATTATGTAACAATTTAGTATTTGTAATTTACAAACACATTTAGTCTCTCATCAATTTATTGACTAAATCGTTTATAAACCATATACTATATGGATTATGCCTAAAACACTACCTGGACTAAATTGTTTTTCAATAACTAATTAATTGTTATTAATTTAAAAATACAAATACTAGTTAAATCGTTACCAACTAAATTCTTTTTTAACCCAATTTTATTCGTACATATAATCTTTTATATAACAACAATACTTATCTAACTCCGTATAGTTTTACTTTTGAACATGTGACCAATGAAAAACGTCGTCTATATCATCACCAATATGTGAGATTATATTCGCATCCGAACAAAAATTACAATTCAACAACTGATCAGCGGATGGATTTGTTCAAAATGCCCGTCTTTACTTGTCGGAGAAGAAAAAGGAAAAAAAATAAAATAAAAAGATTAGTTTTGGAGATATATATGTGGATTATTAGAATAGAAAAAGAAAGGAGAAGAAAAGGTTGAATTTAAGAGAGTCGTTGTTGGGCACATATTATCCAAAGAGTTGACGTTTGAATTCTTAGGATCCAGGGCAGTTCTTCAAATTTTAAATAAATAAAATTCAGCAAAATTAAAATAAAGTCTCCTCTCTACGTCCGATAATAAGAAAAATATTTAGCAAGTGGGGGTGCGTTGAATTTTGGTAGCCTAAATTTTACAGCCACCCTCTTCAATTCTCTGCTCTTTCATTATATATATCTCCATTACCACTCCCACAAAAGCTTGCAATTTTATTAAGAAGAAGAGCTTCGCCGTTGTTCTTTAATGGAGCCTCCTGCTGCTGCTGCTTTAATTGGCCGTTTGAGGCCTGTGCTCAAGACCGAGAAACCTGACCATGACCCCGACCGCGACGGTGAAGCCAATTCTCCGTCCTCTAAACAACGTCTCCTCCTTAAGGTAATTAAATATCAATCCCCTCTCTCCTTTCCCATAAGATCTAGAATTTTATCAGTTTTCATAAGGAGTTATACTGGTAAAATCTTGCACATCTCTAATTTTTTGTTTCTATACATGATTTTTAATTGGATTAAGTTTTGAGTTCAAAATATTGTAATTATACCTATGATTTATATTTTTGGGTGGTTAATTAACTATCAGATGGAGAATTATGGGAAGCAAGATCARCATGAAGCAGAAGATAAGACAMGCAGCTCATCTGAACAAAAAGATTTAACCTGCACAAAACTTCAGGTACCCTTTTTTTTGTCTTAATTATGATTTGTTCTGATTATGGTTTATTTAGTTCAATCCATGTTTATTATGAAGACATGTTCTTCATATGGCAACCATCAGAAATCAAGAACAAATAAAAAGTTTGAAGTTCCTAGATTTGGGGATCTCTGTTCATTTTATTAATCAGGTTGTATTGGCAATAGGATTCCATTATTTCTACCATTAATAATTATTAAACTATTGAGAAACTAAAATCCCTTAACCATGTGTAACATTTTTTCTCACAATTTTTCGACGAAAAAATATATCTTAACCAGTTGTACTACTTGAATTATATTRAGGTTGACTTAACTATGGTAACATGACAAAATAAAGGGTAATATATATTTTTGATCTTTAAGATTTAGACTTAGTTTCTATTTCGTCTTTGAGTTTAAAAAAACCATCATTTTTGATCCCTTGAGACGATCTAAATTTAGTTTCAATTCAATCGTAGGAGTTTCAAATGTGATATGTTTGGTGGTTGAAGTTAATGAATTTAGTTTTTAATTGGTTCCTAAAATTTGAATTTTGTTTCCGATTGGTTCTCAAGTTATGTTGACCATTAGTTGATGTAATAGTATTTTTCAGCTTTCTCTTTTTGTCAAAATAAAAAATATATACTTAACATATGTTAATTGTACATCATAATTCTATTAGGTCAACTAACCATCCATCGATTCAATTTAGGGACAAGTAGAAAAACCATACAGCTCAAATTTCAACTAGAAATCAAACTCAAACCTCAACCATGTTTTAATTCAAACTCCAAATACCAAATATATCACTTTTGAAATTGAATGATAAAAATGAAACTAAATTGAAATCTCAGACACCAAAATAACGACCTTTTAAACTAATTAGAAACCAAACAGAAATTATAATTTCAAATTTAAGGAGCAAAATGCATTTTACCCAAAATAAATCAACCATATTTATGCATAAATAAACACAATTAAGGATCATAAACAAAAAATTAATTAATAAAATTTCAAAGAAAAGAATGTATTTAATTATGAAAGTAAATAAGATGATTACATCTGTTTAATTAATTRCAGGAAGATGAACTGGAATGTGCGCGAGCGGAAATGGGAGAAGTGAGAGAAGAAAACGAGAGGCTGAAGATGAGTCTCAGTCGGATGATGAAGGATTACGAGGCCCTTCGGATGCAATTCATGGGGAAGAAATTATGTCACCAAACAACAACGACGGAGGAAACGGAACTGGTGTCGCTGACGCTCGGCAGGTTTCCGGCGCCGGCG